ACACAGTGCATAATACAGCATACGTCACATACAAATGTACGGTCTTAAATACTGTAATTGTGTACAGCATATAAAACACGTTAAATTATAAATATTAAACAACCCACACATTTTTTATATTAAATATTTCATAGTTTTTTTTTGTTTTACCTTTTGAAAACTGTTTTTCCCACGTCCCCCCTTTCTATCTTCACCAAAAACAATTGTTGCATATTTAAAAATACAATGCATGTCAGTGTTGCAAAGCACATATCCTGGGCCATACTAAAAACGCCAACAATTCGCGTCTGTTCAGCCCACGGGGCTCTTGGCCAGCGAAATGTGTAAGGTTTCTTGTTTGTTTGTTTGTTTTAATCACAGCTCAAGCAAAACCTAAAATACAATTTGGAGAGTTAACCGAGAGGCTTACGTTTTGGGCTCGCTTGTGTAAATTCGTTGATGCGTCGCTCGCTCCCTCTCTCTCTCTCGCGCGCACACACACACACAGACTCACACGCGTGCACACACACACACGAATATCCCCCGTATCGCCTTCAACAGACTGTTAGGGTAAGTTCTGTCAGCGAGGACCTATGAAGGCCGGCACCACGCACGAGAGGATGGTGGCCCAGTATCAAACGCGGCCGTTTTTGTCTCCCCAGTGGCGATGTTTAAACACCGCACCAGGTACTGATTTGAGGCCGAGTCGACCTAGAGGAGGCCCAGGACCAGTTGAGATATTCGTCACCGGTGTTGGCTGTGAGCGGGGAATCGAACTGGGGTCGCCAGGTTCACAGCGCAGCGTAGCGCTAACCACTGCAACCACCGCTCCCCCCAATTCACCAAAATTACACAGGTGCGTACACGCACATACACGTACAGGCACACTCACGTGAGCACGCGTACACGAGGCCAAATATACACGCATGCACACAGACTCGCACACACACTCGCGCGCGCACATTCGCACTACACGCAAGACATGAATGCCTTTGTGTTTCTCCATGCTTCTGTGTTTGCTTGTGTGAGCAGTCATTTAACTGTTTGGCGAATATTGGCACAAATTCAAGTCACCCATCGTAATAAATATATCATTATCTACTATGTATAGGAATTCATTTTTTTTCTTTAAGGATACCGGTGCTGGTATTTACCATTCCACAATCCGTACACATCCACCCACCAATTCCACGCCGTGGCATTTGTCTCGCTGTGCCAAGAGACAGCAGTTTTAAAACTAAACTATATATATTATTTTATTTTACTAGGTAAGGCTCACTGAGCTATATAGCTCGTTTTTCAGGAGCGACCTGGCCACAAATGAAAGCTCAACGTAGTGGCTTATCCTGTGGTAATTTATAGCAACCAAATTACTCTAACGCATGTTTAAATGTGGAGGGAAAAACCGGAGGACCCGGAGAAAACTCCACGCGACCACGGGGAGAACACGCAAACCCCAAATATACAGGCGGGATAGAACCCACGACCTCCTGTATACCAGGCGAGGTAGTTCACATCTCACCACCGTGGTGCCCAGTTGGTGGCAAGTAACCAGCCGTGCCCTGCTTGGGACAACAAACACATTTTTTTCCACACAGTCCCATCGCACACTCTAGGCTTTAGTGAACATTACTTGGCACCTAGGGATTTTAGTTTTTGTTTAACACAATTAAGGACAGATGGATGTGCTAACGTAAGACGTCCGTTTTTCCAAGTTAACACTGGCTCACGATTATCAATGTGGCAAATATACGTGAGAAAATTAAGTCATCTTCTGGGTTCTTTCGGTAAAGTCACGTAGAATGGGAATAAAATAATAAAAAGAATAATAACAGAATAAAATTGGCCCAGTCCGTCTGAACACAAGCTCGTCGTTCTCCGTGGTGTTAATCCCTCATACTAACATCATGCTAATCCCCCAGTTACATGCTAATTTACTGTTGATATGTAAACTGCTACTAATCCCTCACACCAACATTATGCTAGTCCCCCAGTTACATGCCAATTTATATGTTAGCTCCTCTCCCCCCTCCCCTCGTCCGTCTGAACATAGCTCGTCGCTCTCCGTGGTGCTAATCCCTCACACCAACATCATGCTAATCCCCCAGTTACATGCTAATTTATATGTAAACTCCTTTGTCAAGGCGCTCTGTTCATCCCACACAGCTTAAAAGACGCTGTCAAGCTTGGCAGGGTTCACTTAAACGCTGTCTTCCGGACAGTCCTGTTTCTTCACCTGAGGAAGGCTACTTGTGTTGTGGCCGAAGCGTCGTGAGAATTTTATTCTGTTATTATTATTTTATTCCCATTCTACGTGACTTTTCCGAAATAACCCAGAAGATGAATCCCTGCAGTCACGAAAGCTTTAAATCGAAAAATTAAGTCAATGAAGGAAACATCATATAATATATATGCAAATTATGTCTTGAAAGAGGAAAAAACACACATAACCGGAATCTTTCCCAGCATGCTTTGTATGCCCATATGACATCACCGTTGTTGTTGTGCATGAAATAAAATTAAAAAAATGTTGTTTTCTCAGCGATTCCTGCGAACAGGTTATTTCATTTGTACTGGGCCATGGGAACACTGGGTTGTCTAGACAAGACAAGATCCCCCGTCTAGCCTTAACAGATTTTTTTCGGGGGCAAGTGCTGTAAGCGAGCACCTACGAAGGCCGTCACGGCACTTGAAGGTTGGGGTGGGTGGCCAGCACCGCGCCCAGCCGCGCCTTTGCCTCCTAAGTGGCGACGTTTACACATCACACCGCGGGCACTCGTCTGAGAATGAGTCGATCTAGGGGAGGCCCAGGACTGATCAAGACAATCGTCACCGGTGTTAGCCGTTAGTCGGGAATCAAACTCGGCTTGCCGGTTTCGTGGCACAGCGCGCCAGATCGCTGCGTCAGCCCTATGTTGTCTCGGCGAACGCACGCATAGCCAAAGCGTTGGCACATCAGACATTTCGGCGATTAAAACAAACCCCGAGCTAATTTCCCAGACAGGTTGGACTCAGCCAGTCCACAACTCAATACAATTATAAAATGGTAATGTTGATTCTGCCGTGGCGTATGGCAGCAACGTGTTCAGGAGCTAAACACCAATGTCGAGGGCTCCTGACCACGACGAGAGGGCTTCAGGACTGAGAGCTCGAGTCGTTTTGCCATTCCTCCATTGAAGGAGCTGGTGATAAATACCATCGTATTGTGAGTGGAGTGGTGGCGCAGCGGTTAGCGCACTGCGTTATAAACCCGTCGATCAAATTTTCTTTATGGCCACGACTAACATCAGTGGCGAGTGACATCTGAACCAGGCGCCTCCCACCCAGATCCCAGTGCCCCCATTCACCAAGCTCTATTTTCTAGCGTGGTGAAGTATGGTCAAACACGTGCCAGAAGGCGTGGGGACAGCTTGCATCCAGCAGTAGATTAGCAAGTAGCTGTCGATTATTATTTCAAAATTATAATGCGTAATTTCTCGTAGGTGTCCATGTGGAATGGGAGAAATTCTACTCTACCAGAGCACTGATCATGCATAGCTGAGATCCTGGGTTTGAAATCCGGTATGCGTCCCCTGCCATTTAAGCAGATCCTCATGTGTAAGTGAGTTGCTGGTGTCAGTCTTGTGAACCAATCACCACATATATTAATCAGCTGATCAATCCTTTTTAGTTATTGTTGTCACATAATTAATCATATTCCAGCTATGAGAATTTGCATTTCGTTGCGAAGGAATTAACCGCTCTTTTGGGGGCACTTAAAACGAGTTCCCCCGACTGTGGATAAAGAGGCCAATGAAAGTGACGAACACAGACCGGCGGGCTGCTTTCTGAGGACAATTCTAATTGGAAATGCCAACGCGTGATTGTGATCGCACATTGGAAATATATCTGCAAAATAAGACCAAAATATGACTGTAGGAAGCATTGCTACTTATACTGAATTTCATGACAAACGTCTTGTTACTGCTGCGTGATGACACGGCACACACACACACACGATACTGGTTTTAATGGTTATAAGCAATGCCTATTGTGCACGGTAGCATTTGAGTAAATTAATTCAATAGCCCGGAGATTTGTGATCATGTTACGGTACCAATATGTCATACGGATAAATATCTTGACACATTCATGAGACGACGCGGGTTTGGGTAATGAGTAAACTTAATTAAACAGCGTTTTTCCCTTTTCTCCGACAATGCATGTTAAGCTTCTTTCGCACCATACGTAGCCAACCGTGGTTGAGAGTGCTGAAGGGAGTCCAACAGTTTGAGTGAAGATTTGCATGAAACTTTTGTAACCGTATGAATCTGACTGGCTGGAGGAGGGACGTGTCCGTCCCATACCGATCGTTCGCAAAAGGGGGTATTTTGTCTACGACTGTTGGCATCAGTGAGTTCTCAAACTTCGGCAGCTCAACTCAACCGCTGCGGGCGGTTTTGAAGTCTTTGGGGTTTAACCCAAGGCGAGTGCCGTGATCAGCGCGTACACATTTTAGGGGATTACGTTCCAACGTTTTTTTACAAACGTGTATGGACACAGGTTTCCCTCGCTTGACGTGGTAGTAGCTAGATGCGTTCGGGAAAAATTAAGGGGCGCACGACGAGCAAAAGCAAGACCGCGTGGTAGAGCGGATTGCGGGTGTAAATAGGTTAGCTGGCATATACGCGAAATCGCATATAACCGAACCCGCATAAAACGATGGGAAACCTGTATACGTATTTAACAAACCAAAAATATTCGAAAGAGCGCTCGCTCCACATTGTTCTTGAGAACCAAAGCAACGACTTTCAAATTATCGCGACTTCATAATCGATTTGCGCCGGGGAGCGAAGCAAGCTTTTGGTTGGAGACCAACCAGTGGCTCACGGCGCACTGGTGACTATAATAATTATTATTATCGAGTTGTTCTGTTTGTTTACCGAGGAAAGCTGTGTAAGAGTCCTTGTAAAATGAGCTGTTCTGGCACAACTGGCCTTACCAGCTCAAAATAAAAATGAGTGAGTCTCAAGACTCGTTTAATTTTTTTTTTTTGGGGGGGGGGAGTCTGGCGATGTTGCTTATATATCGTCCCAAACGAGTAAATTTGCGGGTACATTTTCAGCATTGGGATGTTGCACTATGGTTTTATTTATCTTTGTTTGTTTAACTAATGGGAGAAAATCGATGCGCCGGGAGGAAACCCATGCAGAACAGATGGAGGGGGGGGGAGTAGTTGGGGAGCGGGATGTGAACATACAAAGGAGCCCGAGTCGTGAATCGAACACAGCCAGGGCCCCTTCTCGCTGCAAGGCGCGATTGTTACCATTTGTGCCATCCCTGCCGGCGACTGCACCGCTGTTTGGGCCCGCGAGGCCTTGCGAAGCGTCCCTCGCATTCCGCTGGGCTGTCGCCGGTATTGCGATCCGAGGATTCGTCGTTTTAGTCTTTTCGTTTTTTTTTTACCCTGGCAAAAACATACCGCGCTTTGAACCGGTGCGCCACGGGGGGGGGGGGGTCGCGGAAATCCCGCCATCGACTAGGTGGCCGGTCAAGGCTCGCCGAGAAAATAAAACTGGGATGGGATCCCCCCCCCTACCCCACCCCGGGAACTGTTCGAGAACGCAGACGTCAAAATGTTTTTTTTTGTTGCGCGACGCGGCAAACAACTGCATTCGGAACTTTTGCCCGCGTTGGCGGAAACGTAAGTGTGACGAAGATGAATTTAGGTGGGTAGGTGTGGTTGTTCGCCGTAGCAGGACTCCTCGCAGTTCGGATGCGAGATGTGATCGAGCCGCCAGAAACAAAGGGAATGCACATAGCGAGGTTGTCAGCTACCGGACGCAAAGGTTAAGCACGAACGCGTAAGCCGATTTTAATATCTCGAGTCTGAGCCCGGACCGGTTCGCGCAGGCGACACGGCGTTCAAACTGCTGATTTTATACAAAAAAGTGCAGTTGCTTGCAGCATATGCAGATTTTTGTGCGGGCGAGGGGTTGAGGTTGGGGGGGGGGGGGGGGGTGGCAGAGGGAGGAGGTCGTAGTGGGGGTAGCGAGTGGTGTGCCATTGAACCCGGCAACCTGAGTTCCATTCCCGGCCATGGCTAACGACAGTGGTCAGTGACATGTGAACTGCCCCCCCCCCCCCAGCCCCCAACCACATTAACGAACCTGCACTGACCAACACGGTGAATTATGGGTAAACAAACCTCCATGGCCAATACAGCATGGTAGGTCTTCATCCAGCAGTGGATTGACAAAGGGCTAATCTGTTTTTAATACTGTACATATATCTGTACAGTCGTACACCGCTCCTGTATTATTACATATAACTCTGTGCATAGTCTTCAAATATTTGTTTTTTTTAATGTTTCGTTAAAATAAAAATGGAGAACAAAAAGTAGGAAATTCCAGAGTTGAAGGTTATTTCTGCAGTGGCTATACAACACAGGGATGGAGTGGTGGCACAGTGGTTAGCGCGCTGCGCGATGAACCCGGCGACCTGAAACTCGATTCCTGTCCACGGCTAACATCAGCGGTGAGCGGGATCAGAAGCAGTCCTGCCCCCCCCCCTCCATCTCTTCCTAACCAGCGTGGTGAAGTATGGTCACAAATACCCACAATCGCGTGGGAAATATTGAGAATGGCTGGAATTTGGCACAACACACGCGGCTCGGTGCATGACCACCAAGTCATTCTTTTTTTGTCGACGAACTTAGGCCAAAGTCTTTGGCACACGCGCGTACCTGCCAAGCGTACCTATATGTAAAAAAAAATATTTTCATTGGGGCAACACCCCCCCCCCCCCCCCCCGCAAACGCACGTCCCAAACAGCACGAGTGGCCTTAACATTTCTCTGCCCGTTCCAGAGGCACCGAGTTCCACGCGCTGCTCCGTACAGGGGGTGTTTGCAGTTCGGGGTCACGTGTTCCGGCAATCGATTGATCTCAGTCACAACTGTGATGAAAGTAGCGGCCTCTGGAGGCTGCAAGGGGGAGGCGTTGGGGCATCACGTGAAGCCTCCTTAACGCCGTATAGCAATCTCACATCGATTGTTACATATGCGTCTATGTTAATAATCGATACTAATTGATTAATCGACGCGTGGTTACACTGTCGTGTTTGTTTTTCTCTTTAAAAAAAATTCGCACGTGGTTTGGAATAATTTCAGAAATCCACTGGGCGTTCCTCAAAGGTCACCTGTCAACCCTTATCTACCCTGGACACCCTTGCAAATGAGATGTTCTGTCTCAAGAGATGATCCAGATATATTGTCACACAAAAATAGTTATAATACAAATGCATGGGTTGCCGCGGTACATTATGGATAAACACATATTTAAGTCGGACTCCGCTCTATGCATTTTGTGATTGGGGCCCTATGGTTTATATTGAATGATCTCTAGTCACTAACATGGTAACCCAGCAGAATGTGTATTTTTTTAACAGGCACAATTCTACTGATGAAACCCAGATGGTCCAAACCGGTCCACAGTTTTCTTGCTGAGACTAATGCCGCTACTTCAAAATAATAGCCTGGATATCCATCCAATAGGCAGCGAGCCAAACACATATTTGTATTTATTTGTGGAGACATTAAATTGAGCTATGCTTACATTTCATTACTTGATGGGTTTGTTCTGTACCTCGCATAGAACTGCCGTGAAACTAACGGTCTTTTATTGGAATGTCGGGGAGAAATAATTGGGTGGTGACATGGCCCAGCGGTAGTGCCATCGCCGATTGTAACAAATGTCAGCATCCGGCAGGCAGCCCTGGTTAATGCCACGGTGTGCGTATTAATCTACGGTGCGTGCATTAACCATAAATACGTTCCGTCTGAATTTTGACTTAAATCTTTCGTGACTGCAGGAATTCATATTCTTTGGTTCTTTCGGTAAAGTCACGTAGATAGGAAAATAATACAAAATAGAGTGAATTTGTGTTGTGATCGAAACGTCGTGTTTTACTTTATTTTTTATTCACTTTATTATTATATATTTTTTTCTATCTACGTGACCTTATCGAAAGAACCAAAGAATACGCTCCGTCTGCTTCACAGTTTCACGTTAAGAGATCCCTGCGACGTGATTGGAAGAACAGTCGGCTCTCGTCTGCCGCAGTCACGGTCCACATTCCGCAAATCTTTGAAAAAATTACTCGCAAACAAGCGTGAGATTATTGGTAACAATAATGATGAAGAAATGAGACAGAGTAGTTCCTTTGCAAGGGGGGCCTGGCAGTGTGCGGTGAATCTGAGCCGTAGAGATATTGGCGCGTAGCGTTTTTTTTCTTTCTTTCGAGGAGAAATCTACCACAGTGAGCTGACTACGGTGCAACGACTAACCTAGACACTCATCTGAACACAAACTCTGAGCTAACTCGAAGCCAGTCGCCAATGGCCATGGGATCCAGACGAAAGAGAAATTCCTCGCGCGTACGCATTTCCTTGACCCCTTTCGTTTGCCCCCCCACCCCCCCACCCCCCCGGGTTGAAAGCTGTTACAATCACAATGCACAAATAATTTCACATCATTGCTGTTGTCGTCGTCGTCGTCATCATCATCATCATAGCTTACGGGCCATTGCCATGTCCTGATAAAAATCCACATTGATCTCTTATTCAAATATTTGTTTTCAAAAGTTACCGAGGCGCTTAAGCCAGTATTCATCAAATGGCGCACTTACAAAGATTTCCAAATATAAATTACATTTTACCCTGTTGGATTTTTTTTATAAGCGTATGGTGCACGTTCCAACTTTATTTTCCCCTTTCCGGAGACGACGCTACGAGGCCAGCAAACAAACAGCCTTCGAGTTCCCACCCTTTGCAGAGGTATCCAGTGTGACTTGTCGGGTTCATATGGTCCTGCCATTTCACTTTAAAAACCGTATAAATACACGTATTATCTGTTGTCACCTCTACCACATACCAAAGGCTCCCCCACCCCACCCTCCACCACCTCTGCTCTCGACCAAATTCCCTCCCATCGTGCCACATGACCGACACAACAAATAACGCTACCACACCATTTCTTCACCAGATCATGGCCAGACAAATGACATGCATCTTTTTTTTATAATTTATGAATAGCCATGACCTTTGATCATCTCCATCCACAAGGCTGACTAATTTTCAAAAAGATCACATTTTAATTCTTCTGCCAATTTTGTTTTGTATTCTAGTTTGACTGCGCCACCCCTGACGAAAAAACTGGAATTGTCGTCCACAATTACAAGGCCTGCAATAGGCCTACCGCGCAAAAAACACAATCCACTGTTTCGTTCACTTGTACCAATGACACCCTCTGACGGATTTTGCGTGTCGTCTCACAACAACATTGACGCTCAACCCTTCCCTGTGCATTGTCGCTTTGTGATGTTTACATTTGTTTTAGTGCCCACTCGTTGCAGTGCCCACCGAATTATTTGTTTCACGTTGGTTTTAGAAAGCGGCATTTGTCCTCCACGTACGTTTGACGTTTACACTTGAACTCATCACGGCTGACTTTGCATTCTTAATACGCGTTTGTCAATATAATCCCACGAAGCATCGAATTGGATAGAAATAGACACAAAGAGAAGCTAGGTGAATTTTCAAGGCTTTGCGTTTATGTTTTTTTTTTATTTAAGCTGCAGGCTTCTTTGCGCGTTCCTTCATCCTCGTACGTTGCTCCGAACATCGCGGTGCCACCAACGCCTCCACGTTTATTTTTACCTGCAAGGGAGGCAACAGGGAACGTTAGTGCAGGGTCACACCTGAGCCACCACCAGTTGCACAACCGAATTCGCTCTCGAAATCGCAGCAACGCAATCATCGCCTGCGACCGATTTGTCAAAAACCTGAGCGGGCACGTGAGCCACAGTAACAATTGCGCGGCGCCGTTTCTGAGATCGCAAACAAGCGAATCACGTGTTCACAAAATGTGCAACACGTGACGAAATATGCAGCTACAGATACCTGGTTCCTGAAAGTAGAGCGTCTCTCTACTGCAAGCGACAGGTTGCGCAAGTTGCTCGCAACCGGTTGCGGAGACAATATAAGCGATTTAATTGCACGCAACCAATCTGTGCAACTTCCCAGTGAAACGTGCAACGTTGAGGCAACGTTTGCCTGTGGTTGGAACCGATGGACCAACGGTAGCCCAACGTTGGCTCCAAGGCTTCCAATGTTCACCGGGTGATAGCTCAGGTATGAGCCCAAGCTTCGAGCCGAGCTCCAGAGAACAATCATGGACATTTCACTTCCTCTTAGGGCAAATACAGCAGCAGCTGGATATAAGCACACTTTATATATATAGGTCCAATTAGAAACAACACGTGCTTACATATCACTGGTGGAAGGAAAGCAAACGGCTACTGCTAAAACAAGCACACTGCTTCTGATATAAGTACGGCTGGCCTTTCTCTCAAGGGCTGTGCTTACAAACTAAACTAAATCAACTGTACCATTTTTATTTAACCAGGTAAGGCCCACTGAGCTATATAGCAACTTTGTTTAGAAGCGACCTGGCGACAGATGATAGTTCAACAAAGTGGCTTATCACGTGGAAGTGTATATCAGCCGAATACTCTACATGCATGTATCTAAATGTGGAGGGAAAACCCTAGGGACCCGGAGGGTCGGGATCGAACCGACGACCTCCTGTACACCAGGCGAGATAATTAACGTCTCGCCACCGTGGCGCCTTGCGATTCCCACACGTAGTTTGTGCCGTAAGATTTAAACGTAATTCGTGTTGTTGTTGTTATTATTAATTAATTTCACACTTCGTCGCGTGGGGCAAAGGTTAAAGGTTACCGCGGTCATGGCGGCACCTCGACACGTGATTCCCAGCCAATTTGAAAGGAGCGGAGGGGGGGCCTTAAGAGATCTAAATTCCTCGTCTTCCTCAGAGGTGGGGGAAGTTTTTTTCTTTCTCACTCCCGGTTTTTTTGTGTGAAAACAAACCCTCAGTAGAGCCTTTTGATCTGCAGAGGGTGGCCTTTGTTAGGTTTTTAAGAATGAGGGTGTGTGGGGGGGGGGGTGAAGGAGGGTCGGTGAGAAGAGGAGGATGAAGAGCAGGAGGAGGGGGGGGCGGTGGTGGTCGTTGTTGTTGTGAGAGGGAGGGAGGGGCGGTTGTTGTGGGAGTTGTGGAATGGGGCTCTAGGTGGAATGTCTCAACAGATAGACTGCGGTGGGAAGGGGACCACCTTGGGGGCCGATCTAATCTGCTCAAGAATTCCAAGTGGCCAGAAAAAGGCACCCACCCCTCCCCCGAACATCCCACCCCGCCCCTCAGCTCGCCCACCCACCCACCCTCATCAGAAAACCCCCACAACTCCTCCGGCCAGCACCGCCCCCCGCCGCCTCATCTACACACAAAGACAAAGATCCCCCGTGTAGCCTTAACAGACTGTAGGGGCAAGTGCTGTTAGCGAGCACCGATGAAGGCCGGAACGGCACACGAGCGGCTAGGTGGCCAGCACCACGCCCGACCGTCTTTGTCACCCCAGTGACGATGTTTACACACCGCACCAGGTACTCATTTGAGGCCGAGTCGACCTAGGAGGACGCGCAGGACCGGTTCAGATAATCGTCACCGGTGTTGGCCGTGAGCGGGAATCGAATCCGGGTGGCCGGGTTCGTAGCGCAGCGCCACCATCCCTCCCACGCCCAGTGACATACCCAGTCACATACCCAGTGACATACCCAGTGACATACCCAGTGACATACCCAGTGACATACCCAGTCACATACCCAGTGACATACCCAGTCACATACCCAGTGACATACCCAGTCACATACCCAGTGACATACCCAGTGACATACCTAGTGACATACCCAGTGACATACCCAGTGACATACCCAGTGACATACCCAGTGACATACCCAGTCACATACCCAGTGACATACCCAGTGACATACCCAGTGACATACCCAGTCACATACCCAGTGACATACCCAGTCACATACCCAGTGACATACCCAGTGACATACCCAGTGACATACCCAGTGACATACCCAGTGACATACATAGTGACATACCCAGTGACATACCCAGTGACATACCCAGTCACATACCCAGTGACATACCCAGTGACATACCCAGTGACATACCCAGTCACATACCCAGTCACATACCCAGTGACATACCCAGTGACATACCCAGTGACATACATAGTGACATACCCAGTGACATACCCAGTGACATACCCAGTGATATACCCAGTCACATACCCAGTGACATACCCAGTGACATACCCAGTGACATACCCAGTGACATACATAGTGACATACCCAGTGACATACCCAGTGACATACCCAGTCACATACCCAGTGACATACCCAGTCACATACCCAGTGACATACCCAGTGACATACCCAGTCACATACCCAGTGACATACCCAGTCACATACCCAGTGACATACCCAGTCACATACCCAGTCACATACCCAGTGACATACCCAGTCACATACCCAGTGACATACCCAGTCACATACCCAGTGACATACCCAGTCACATACCCAGTGACATACCCAGTCACATACCCAGTGACATACCCAGTCACATACCCAGTGACATACCCAGTGACATACCCAGTGACATACCCAGTCACATACCCAGTGACATACATAGTGACATACCCAGTGACATACCCAGTGACATACCCAGTGACATACCCAGTCACATACCCAGTCACATACCCAGTGACATACCCAGTGACATACCCAGTCACATACCCAGTGACATACCCAGTGACATACCCAGTGACATACCCAGTGACATACCCAGTCACATACCCAGTGACATACCCAGTCACATACCCAGTGACATACCCAGTGACATACCCAGTCACATACCCAGTGACATACCCAGTCACATACCCAGTCTCATACCCAGTGACATACCCAGTGACATACCCAGTCACATACCCAGTCACATACCCAGTGACATACCCAGTGACATACCCAGTCACATACCCAGTGACATACCCAGTGACATACCCAGTGACATACCCAGTCCACATACCCAGTGACATACCCAGTGACATACCTAGTGACATACCCAGTCACATACCCAGTGACATACCCAGTGACATACCCAGTCACATACCCAGTCACATACCCAGTGACATACCCAGTCACATACCCAGTGACATACCCAGTCACATACCCAGTCACATACCCAGTGACATACCCAGTGACATACCCAGTGACATACCCAGTCACATACCCAGTGACATACCCAGTGACATACCCAGTCACATACCCAGTGACATACCCAGTGACATACCCAGTGACATACCCAGTCACATACCCAGTGACATACCCAGTGACATACCTAGTGACATACCCAGTCACATACCCAGTGACATACCCAGTGACATACCCAGTCACATACCCAGTCACATACCCAGTGACATACCCAGTGACATACCCAGTCACATACCCAGTCACATACCCAGTGACATACCCAGTGACATACCCAGTCACATACCCAGTGACATACCCAGTGACATACCTAGTGACATACCCAGTCACATACCCAGTGACATACCCAGTGACATACCCAGTCACATACCCAGTGACATACCCAGTGACATACCCAGTGACATACATAGTGACATACCCAGTGACATACCCAGTCACATACCCAGTCACATACCCAGTGACATACCCAGTGACATACCCAGTGACATACCCAGTGACATACCCAGTGACATACCCAGTCACATACCCAGTGACATACCCAGTCACATACCCAGTGACATACCCAGTGACATACCTAGTGACATACCCAGTCACATACCCAGTGACATACCCAGTGACATACCCAGTCACATACCCAGTCACATACCCAGTGACATACCCAGTCACATACCCAGTGACATACCCAGTCACATACCCAGTCACATACCCAGTGACATACCCAGTGACATACCCAGTGACATACCCAGTCACATACCCAGTGACATACCCAGTGACATACCCAGTCACATACCCAGTGACATACCCAGTGACATACCCAGTGACATACCCAGTCACATACCCAGTGACATACCCAGTGACATACCTAGTGACATACCCAGTCACATACCCAGTGACATACCCAGTGACATACCCAGTCACATACCCAGTCACATACCCAGTGACATACCCAGTGACATACCCAGTCACATACCCAGTCACATACCCAGTGACATACCCAGTGACATACCCAGTCACATACCCAGTGACATACCCAGTGACATACCCAGTGACATACCCCCGGGCCGGGCAGCCAGGGGGTGGCGTGGCGCACTTGGAGGGCTTCGTGGGCGAGCGAGCGAGCGAGCGACGTCCCCGCGGCGATGGCGTTCATTGAACGCTTCCCAGCGCCCGGTTGAATTGCGGCTTAACAGGGTCACCGAGTTGATGTTTTTTTGTTCAAGTGATCGTCAAAGAGCAACAAAACTCGAAGGGGAAGAAGAAGAAGAACAATAAAGCCACCGTGCAAGGCGCGGCGAGGTGGGTGAGGGGGAAGGAGGAGGACTTCCTACTCCTCCTCTCTCTCGCTCGCTCGCTCGCTCCCTTGCCGTATGTTTCTGTGGAGACGGAATTTGTTTTTGTCCATCGCCGTTTGACCCAAAAACACGGAGTGTTTGGCGGCGCGTGGTGGTGGTGGTGGAGGGAGGGAACAAAAAAAAAAGAAATGGTAAATAATCGCGCCCGTGCGGCGATTTAACCCCCCCCCC